ACGACCTGGGGGCCGTCCTGGAGGGCCTTCATGTCGTCACGGACGCTGGTACCACCAATGCAGGCGTGGCACTGGACGTCCATGAAGTCACCGATGGCGACAACGACCTTCTGGATCTGCTGAGCGAGCTCGCGGGTGGGGGCGAGGATGAGCGCCTGGCAGGCCTTGACGTTGGAGTCGATCTTCTGGAGGGTCGAGATGGAGAAGGTAGCCGTCTTACCGGTACCAGACTGGGCCTGGGCGATGACATCGTTGCCTAAAATATGTCAGTCGCTTGTTGGGTTGTGCGGTGGTGGGGGTGGGCAAACGTACCCTTGATGACGGGCATGATGGCGCGCTGCTGGATAGCAGAGGGGCGCTCGAAACCGTAGGCGTAGACTCCACGGAGGAGCTCAGCCTTGAGGTTCATGTTGTCGAACGAGTCGGTGATCTCATCGTAGTTGGACTCGATCTGGCCTGCGCGTGGGTTAGCCTGGGCTCGCAGAAGTGTTTGCAGGTGAGGCTATCGTCGCCGCCGCCCTCGCACTGCGGGGCGCGCAATGTCGAGGAGCAGCGGGACAGCACTCGGGGCACAACTCACCCTCGGGCACGTCCTCAAGACCTTTGTCAGCCATGATTGCGACTGGAAGGAGCGACTACTGGTGCGGGACCGTAGTCGAAGTGTTGCTCGTGGCGGGGTTAAAGCGGAGGATCCTCTGGATGCCGCCGCGTGTGTAAAAGTTGTGTAGTAAAAGCTAGATACCAGATCCTCTGCAAGAGAATCAAACGGGTATCTAGGGTAGTGTGTGTATTGGTTGTGTGGTGGATTTGGTGATGGAGGGACAGAGAAGGTGGGCGCTTTTTGGCTTAAGAGGTCGGCCACAAAAAATCTCAGCAGTGTGCTAGTGCCAAAAGCACGCTAGTTCAAATGCGCCCACGGCTCCCACCTAGGTCCGCCTTCACTTCCACTGGCTCGCTCCAGCGTCAGCCTATGACTCTGTTCATTGTCCCTTGGTTTGCCTCCTAGACCACTTGCAGCCCTGAAAACGTCTGCGCTGAGCAAACACCAAGCATCGTGCCCGGTCCATCTTTGACATGGCGCCCGGCATTCTGGACCACCCCGGCATTGCCACTGTCGAATCACGACCTTCGAAAAGAGTCAAGACTTCTGTGGCGACTGAAGTCGAGAGCGACGACGATGATGTGGCGGCGGCGGCAATCGCAGTCCCCTCGCATCCTCTGGGTATCAAGCCGGCCGGCAATGCGTATACTGCGTCCGAGAATATCAAATCGAGATGCGGACTGTTCGCCAGCTTACCCGATGAACTACTGAGCCACATCTTTGAGTCATTCGAAGCTGACGTTCTGATACGCCTGGGGAGTACATGCCGCGCTCTGTATGCCTTTACGAGGTTGGACGAATTATGGCGGGCTTTGTTCGTAAGGTGAGTACCACGGTTGCTATACACAACATGTTGCATTCCCCATCTTTTTCGTATACAGTCATTCCTACGTTTCCAGTCATCGTCCAGTCATGTAATCGGTCAGGCGGTGTATGTGAAGGAAGGCGTTCCTTGTAAACTCTCTTGGATCGGTATGACTGTGCCTGCACGCCTGACCGCGCCTCGGCCGTGGAAGTGCAGGACACAAGATCATTTCAGGGCGTTCTATATTTCCACGGGATAGAGTGGTATATCGTTGCCCAAGTTGATTGTGTGTAAATTCGTGGTATATACGAAACTGCATTTTCGCAACGGAATAGAGCGTTGCTTCTACTTTATACCAGGCCCAACATGCATCACTCGTTTGCTTGCGTTGAAAATACCAGACAATCACTTTTTTTCCAATCGAACGCTAACAATCAAACAGCGCCCCAGCTGAAGACTTTGAGTGGCGTGGAACCTGGCGAGCAACTTACCTGAAGATCCCAAGAGAGCACGTCACTTCAATATCATGCACCAACCTCTTCTCGGACACTCTTTATCGACCATTTCAGTGCGCCCACACAGAACTAAACTCCTACGCGGTCAACATCCCGAAAAAAAATGAGATAGCCCGACTATCAGATCTGACATACGAAGAGTACGCCGATACCTGGGTGGACAAGCCCTTTGTGCTCACTACACCCGTCAAGCAATGGCCTGTGTACGGTACCTGGACGCCAGAGTACCTCCTTGAGAAATTCCCAGAAACCAAATTCCGCGCGGAAGCAGTAGACTGGCCCATGAAGAAGTACATGTCCTACATGCACGACAACGCCGACGAGTCACCCCTGTACCTCTTCGATCGCGCATTCGCCGAGAAGACCGGTGTAGACATAACAGCGGCACCACATTCCAAAGAAGCCGCATACTGGAGCCCAACATGTTTCGGCGACGATCTCTTCAGTGTCCTAGGCGAACACCGACCAGACTGCCGATGGATGATCATGGGTCCGAAGCGCAGCGGCTCTACGTTCCATAAAGATCCAAACGCAACTTCGGCATGGAACGCAGTCTTGACAGGCAGCAAGTACTGGCTCATGTTCCCCGCCGGCCCAGGCATCGAACCTCCACCCGGTGTCATCGTCAGCGACGATCAATCCGAGATCACCTCTCCGCTCAGCATCGCAGAATACATGCTCACTTTCCATGAGCTCGCCCGCCAAACGCCCGGCTGCAAAGAAGGCATCTGCTACGCTGGTGAAGTACTGCATGTACCGTCCGGCTGGTTCCACCTAGTGCTCAATCTTGAGGACAGCCTCGCTTTGACGCAGAACTTTGTACCCCGCAAGAAATTGCCTGATGTACTAGGCTTCCTGCGTGACCAGCGCGGCGAAGTAAGCGGGTTCAAGGAAGATGTTTGTGATCGCGCCTATGAGCTTTTCGTAGAGCGACTTCAGGAACAGCATCCCGAGTTGCTGGATAAGGGCCTCGCGGAGTTGGAAAGGAAGGGGAAGAAGGGAAAGGGCAAGTGGGAGCAGCTGACGAAGGGAGACGAGGAGGAAGAAGTCGGAGGGTTTAGCTTTGGCTTTGGTGGGGATGACGATGATGCTGACATTCCATGAGCGTTGCATTGATCGTAGTGTCAGCAATTCCGCATTTAATCGCATGCACATAGTGTTCGACAGCTTCACAACTAGAAGAATCGGGTTTTAATCATAACATTCATACATTGCTGTGCAAGCTATCTCTCGTGGGTATCATCTAATCGTTAAGTCGTATCATACATCATAGTCGCAGCGTCATGTCTCATCCTCCCCATTCTGCGCCAGCTCACTTTGCGTGGTTGATGATCTCGGCGTACATGTCCTCAGGTATCTTGCCGGCGAAGCTCATAGCCACGGCGACAATCTTCTGAGCGTTAAGACCAGGTAGGTTACGTAGGATCGTATTGGGACTATAAACACGTCAGTCGTGCTTCGAATATCTGTGGAGATTGTACTCACCTGGGGCTGTTCAAGATATCCCCGCGGATCAGAACCAGCTGAGCCACGATGCACAGAATGTTCAGGTGAGGTCCATACGCGAAGAGGAAGTCCCAGAGCTGTAGGACCTCGGGCAACGGGGGTGTGCACGCGCACATGGTGAGGACGGATGCGAAAGCGTAGATCTTGGCTTCCATATGGTGTGCCATAAGATGACCGTACAGCTTAGGGTCGACCACCTCTAGCACCCTGTCCACCAACGCGAGACCTTTGTGCACACCCTCCATCGATCCCCTCACATAGCCTGGGCATTCGTATGTAATGAGCCGTTCGAAGCCCGTGAAAGCCTCGACTTCACTCCTCGCCGCGTACAAGAATGGTCCACAGAGCACATTCATGCCCTGCACGTAACCAATCTGCTCCGCATCGTTCGTAGTCGACGCCTCTGTACGCGTACCCGCAGTGAGGGAATGCCGCGACATCATCGAGGTATCTGGGCTACCGCCGAACTCGGATAGTGTTGGTGGGGACTGCCAGCCATTGACGCGTGCTTCGTGCGCATCGTTCAGCCTCCACGCGACCGCGTTGAGCACACGCGTAATGCTATTCTGAGTGACGCGTCGTCGGAAGAGGGGATCTCCCTGGAAGGTGCGGAAGGTATCGTTTTGGATTTTGGCGTGCGCAGGAGAGGCGCCTTGACGGACGAGATCGAGGTATACGTCGGTGCGGAGAGGAGGCGCGTTGAGTAGGATGAGCCAGATGTATATGCGCAGCTCGGACTGGACCGGTAGAAATTAGTATACGGAATTCATTGAGCGATTCTAGATTGCGCCCATGCGCAGTATGATCGCATGGGGTAGTGTGGAGAACATACCATGCCCTCGCTGTTGGCGGGAATGCCTTCGGTCAAGATTGTGTAGCGCAATTCTTGGAGACCCTCCTCTGGATTACTCGCAGAGGCTCCTTTGAGCAGCAGCATATCCAGATTCGTCATTTTGGTGAATTGGCTATGAAGGGGTTGGGTTCGCTCACAATTCGAAACTCTGGTTGGGGTGCATGGCGGTCTGCACTGACGCCTTGGCAGTGGCCCTGGAATCCTCGCCGCGGACCCGCGTCATCCGAAGACGTTCACTCCACTATCCTCAATGCATACGCTGCATCCACGTTTCGTATAATCTTCTTGTTTCTTGTTTCCTAGTCCGTTAAGAGTTAAGAACCTATTCCCGTGATTGCTACTTGTTCTATTACATCTCGTCTGTGTCGTCCACACCTGAATGCAGCCTTGGAAAAACGGGTAGCGACGATCTGGAAACACCCACAGAACACCCACAGTAATATCCACTTATTCCACTGCGCTCTCATCTTACTTACATCGGCAGCAACTGCCAACATGGTGTTGCCGCCAGAAGCCGAGTACAATCGCAGCGAATACAAGCGCGACACCAAGTACATCGCTGGATATCTTTTGAAGGCTTCCCGGAAATGCGGGTTTGTGCCGACGCCTTCCAACAACAACTCTTACAATCATGAGGTTTGCGAACGTGATTTTGAGCCAATGGCTCAATGTATCGTGGATAATTCACAAAAGACATCTATACCTTCGTTTATACGTACAATGCTGGTTCGGGCTATTCGATTTCGGCGGGAGGTGACAGCCTGGTATCGCCTCAAGAGCTGCGATACAAACGCAGATCAGCAGCATGATGCTTTCTCTTCGCGCCTCCAGAGAACACTAGATATTCTGCGACCGCATATACCCAAGCCGGACAATGGAAAAACGAATGGCAAAACCGCTTCCTCGACCACGACCGCACTAGAACTAGGCTTCTCCAATCTGAATTTACAGGACACGACTGAGGATGATGAGGGAGATATCGAACAACCCGTGGCTGTGAAAGACTTGCCTTCCGTCCCAGTAGTAGATATTAGCTTGGACGACGCGAATGTGGAAGAAAACTTCTTCCTCGACATCAAAAGTTTCCTAAGAGAAATGCAGTCTATTCGGAAGTATGTCTTGGAGCGATGGACAGGACAATCCGATCTCATGACCAAAACCTTTGTCACCAATACCGCGATCGCAATCGTGCGACAGAAAGAATACGAGTTCGATCAAAGTCTATTGCGTCCACCTCAGTACCCAGCGGATGATTTTCCCGTCGGGTGCTTACCGGCTTTGCTTCTTTTTAGGACGTTCTATCCAGAGAAACTTGGCGATAAGAAAGGAGTCGACGGGATCCTCTGGCCTGCTGACACAGCGAAATTCTCCGGCAAACAACCTTTACTTTGCTTCTACCATGTGTATAATGGCCTAAACATCTTTGACGCTGACCTGAGGTTTGATCATAAGACCGAGTCCCCAGCTTCTATTTTGGTACATGATCGCAGGAAAGAGGCCAACAATCAACGCGTACACCCAAACGTACTCGACGCGCGGGACATGGCTGCAGTGCTTTACGTTTTAGACCAACTGCCATTGTTCACACAAGATTTTTCGGAGGATGAATTAACACGCGGCGTTCGACACGTAGTCGAAGATGAGGAAATAAACATTCCTTTTTGGGTCACGTTTGCTATGCAGATCCAGCTCGACATCAATGATCTTCCGAAGAGTTCCTTGGGAGACCCGCTTAAGGATCTACAACGAGAAGCGACGAAGACCTCCATACTCGTCCAAGAAGTCAAGAGGCATAATAACCCACTTGTGGACGTTCATCGGGGCGAAGAATTCGTCGCGCTTGAGGCGGTCGTTGAAACACTCAAAGCCGGAGTCTTCACGGACGGCACTACCCGCTTACTACAAGCCGCCGTCAAGAACTCATTGACGCAGCCGCAAAACTATAACCTGGCACCATTGTCAGAAACAGATCCGCTTTGTCCAGGCATCTCTCTCGTTGTAGAAAAGGGCTTGTACTGGCGCAGCCATCACCTGAGATGTGGTGTCATCATATATGTTCTACGAACTTTGGTGCGGCAATTCGCAATTGCGCAGGACGCCAGTCATTGTCATGTACTCGGCGTTGCTCACCTGTACAACATATGTCACAACCTATTTCCTGGTGCTCCGCACTTCCCCGATCTGGAGTTCTTCATGCAACGACAGGACCTAGAACGATTCTTCTATGGGAAAATACCACAGGATATTACGGATGCTAAGAGACAGCTGGAGCTTATTCAGTACGGCATAACTGATGCAATCAAAGGCCACACGTACCGTACGATCAGCCAAATTGGGAAACGCCTTATGCGAAGCAGATTCATCCAGAGTCCTTCTAACCTAGACTCTGTGTTAGAAGATCGTTTTTGTCTGCACGACGATCCTTTGACTCCACAGGAAGTCGATGCATCGACCCGTCGCTTTTTGAACAGTTTCGGCGATAAAAAGCGAGAACATGAGCGAATGCGGCTGTTCAACTGGCCAGCTGACGCAGTCGGTCCCGAGGGTAAGACATACCATAGGCTCTTTTTCCATGAATACGACAAGATATGGGACCCTGTTCCGACCTTGCGGTCGGTAATGCTATGGCTCGAGGCGGATGCCGTCAATCTCAACTTCTGCACCCCAAAGCTTGTCCTCCTCTGCAGCGACATCCTCCGGGACATCTTGGACATGTTTCGGAAAGACCCTGCTTTCGAGAAGGACTTTTTACAAGGACAGAACCATCCCGATCTCTTGGCTTTAACTGTTGTTCATCGAATTCTAACCCTGGCCGCCAACGAGACTAAGTTGCGTAAACGACAGCCAAGTCTCCCAGCGAAGAGGATGGAGCAGCTACGCGAGGTCTACAACATCATGCAAAAGCACTACATGCGTCCTGTGAAAACCACGCCAGGCGAAAAGACATGGGCGGGCGACGTCTGCATTGCGAATCTAGTCAACACGGAAAAGGAACCCCAGACCAGCGAATATTGGAGTGCAGTGAACTTTTTCAGTGGCCGCGACATATTCGGACACGCTGGGCGCAACATTGATCCAGATAACTTGGGGCCTGCTGCTGCTGAGAATTTGTACAAGAATTGGGACTTTGGCGGGAGTAAAGAGGAGAGCAGGATGTTCAACGCCCTCTCTAGGTTTCATGTTGGATGGGGTTCGATGGCGATCGTGAGAAGAGCTATGGAGGGGCGTAATCGATAGCGTTTCGTAGGCACGCCGAACAAATAACTTCTTCGAGGCCGGGTGCTAGGAACAAGTGGTAGGGTGGTTAGCAAGCATGCACCATTCCATTAAAGCAGTATCGCCTCTACTGCACGGGCTACATGTTCACATTGTCAAAATAGGGGTGTCATTGTGGTGAAAAAGAGAATATCATTGAATGATCTCGCTATATAAGGAATGTCGTGTCGTCATGATATGTATCCCACCTGCCTCTAGAACGCCTTGAAAGATTATGTACAAAAAGAAAAGCAACGCCTAAAACCTTCAACCTCTTCTATCTTCTCCTGGTGGACGATGTCGATGTCTTCTTGTCATCCCTCCTCGTACTTGTACTTGTCGCCTTGGGCGCTGAAGTTATCGTCGGAGAGGAAGAAGCAACTCCAGCAGCAGCTATAGACGGTGGTGTAGAACTTGTCTGCAACGTCGTAGAGGAAGCAGCGTCTGTAGCAGACGAGGACGATGAAGAAGAAGAAGAAGAAGAAGAAGCTGGTCGAGTGCTGGTGACTAGCGTGCTAGGTCCCTTGCCTCCATTGGCCCAGTACTCGACAAGCGCCTGCTCAACCTTTTCAGGTTCTGTGTAAGCCTCCAGAGCCTCGAGCTCAGCGCACTTCTCATCGATGTGCTTGTCGTCGTATTCATTGATGTCTTTGGAGCGGTACTTCTCCTCCATCGGGTCAATGAACTTGGTTGTCTCAGGATAGCCGAAGTTGGCAAGGCTGGTGACGTTGAAAGCAGCCATCATGTCGTGGTCCTCGTGGATGAGGTTGTGGCAGTGGAACATGTATACACCATCGTAGGGGGCGTAGCGGGCGATGACGGTGACCTTCTCGTTGGTACCAAGCAATACGACGTCCTTCAAAGCTTCTCGTTCGTAGGGAAGAACACTTCGTTTACCTCCGGTGCGGCTCAAGATCTGGAAGTCGACGAGATGGATATGCACGGGATGGCTCCAGCCGCCGGATGAGTTCTCAAGCTCCCAGACCTCGACGGCACCGCGCTGGGGCTTTGCGAGGATGCGGTTGTTGACGTCGGCAAAGGTGACGCCGTTGACGGTCCATTCTCCGCCGGTGCGTCCAAATTTGAAGCTCCTGTCGATGCCACTCTTCTTGGGTGGGAAAGGTACTGTACGCAGAGAGCCCGGGAGAGCGCCGTTGCCGGCGGTGCTGGAGACGGAGGAACCGACCACGAATCGCATGACCTTATCAGTGCTGTTGTAGTCCTCGTCTGCTTGTACGTCGCGGGCATTCTTCATCGTTACGTTCTTTCCGGCGTATGTGCTGAAGTCGACGACGATCTCCCAGCGTTCAGCCATTGAGATCTCGAGGTTGTCAGTCGGTACAGGCTTGGACATGAGACCAGTGTCTGCGGCGATGACATTGAATGGAACCTTCTTGGCTGAAGGGTCCTCAAGAGTGAGCTTGAAGGCACGGCTGATGGCTGTGTTGAGCACCCTGAAGCGGTATTTGCGTGGCTCCACCTTCATGTAAGGCCATGGTTGGCCGTTGACGTGGATGACGTCGCCCCAGAGAGAAACGGTCTCACTTGCTGGATCAAAAAGCGTGCCGTCACTGTTGTACTGCTTTGAGGCCAGTGCCAGAGGCACATCGTATGAGCCCGAAGGAAGTTTTAATTCATCCTCAGCAGGGTCATGGAGGATGTAGAAGCCCGCTTGTCCGAAGTAGGCGTTCTCCGCAGTGTGATGAATGGCATGGTCGTGGTACCACAAAGTTCGCGCACTCTGCTTGTTGGGGTAGTCTAGAATTATTAGCATTCATGTGGCATAATGCCAGTGACAGCCGGTGCTCACAATAGTCCTTGTATTGTCCGTTCTTGGTAGTGTCCTCAGCCCATCCATCGAAAGGTGCTCGGCTGTATGAACCATGAAGATGCACCGAAAGGTCCTTAGGGCCGTGGTTCTTGAATCGAACAATGGCTTCACGACCTTTGGTCATGCGGAAAGTGGGACCAGGTGATACTCCATCGTATCCAACAAGGTTGGCAGGCTTAAGCCCAGGGTAGACTTGTTGTGTGAATGGCTTCACATCGACCTCGTAGAAGTCAATCTCATTCCCTGTCGTCTTGTTTCGGTAGGTGTACGACTTGGCCTTATCCTGGGGGATAGGAAGCGGGTTCTGAAAAATCTGCTTGTAGACTGGGCTGAGCCACTCGTCGTCGCCAGCAAGTGCTTGCGATGCCAAGAGGGCTGTGATTCCAATGGAAAGATAGTTCTTCATGGCGTAGTGAAGGCGGATGAAGAACAGGAGATGAGCAGATATGCGTGAATTGGGCTGATGCTCTGTTGTACACTGGCGTCTTGGAACACTTTATACATCCCCATCTCATGGTATACAGGAGTTAAAAGGTCTCGAATACGCCTGCTTCATGGTATCCGGCCAGACCCCCGTTCCCACCATCCCTCATCGTGGCAAGTGTACTCCCACAAGAATGGGATGTGAAGTCTAGGGCCGGCAGGAGACGCCATTCGGCGTTCTCGCTACTGTTGCCTGAGTGTGTCGATATTCACCATATCGTAGTCTGCTTCAAGCCACTGCCTGGAAAGGCCGAGAATATGGGATCCATGCCTAGACATGGCTTGAGAGGCTTGGTATGAGCAAGAGCTAGGCGATGAGCGAAAGCTGATGAGTCTTGGCGACCAGTAGGATGACTAGCCCATGCTGATGGAACAACATGAGAGACTACTCCATTTACAAGTGCGGGATGAATTCGATCAGTATCTCCGAATGGTGCATATGAGTAGGTGATGCTGAACTCAATCTTGACTCATCTGAATCTTCTCGACCACGAGAATCCCAGGTCTTCCCTGCTCTTCACCCCGACCACGTGACGGATATCAGTAGGCAAAGTGAGCAACGAACGAGTTGCAGAGTCTGTTTCGGGAAGACCGACAGTCTCAACTCGGAAAGGTGTAGTCAGGAAGGTCTTTGTTTACGGATGGCGCTCTACATGCCTAGACGACGGCTGGGTACGAGCGGTCAACACGATTCAGGCCCTCCATGAGAACTTTCGTAGCAGTCTCGCCCTGCTAGGGCTGAACATTGTTGCCAGCGTGTGAGCTGTGAGGCGCTAATTGCTAGTGCATCGTGGTACGCGAGAGACCGGTCAACTTGGCCAGGCTTGTTTGGGAGTCCCGTAGATCCAGGAATAGCAGTTCCGCGTCCGGGGGACTGCTGGCCAGTGTGCCGGTGCTGTGTGTGTGTGTGTTCATCGCAAGCGGAGAAGGTTGAAGGGAGGCTGCGGAAAGGGAGGTCTGGACTGTGACCAAGCTGCGATCGGCGCTAAGCTAGCGCCCGTCGGCCTTGGCGTGGAGAGCGCTCAGCCTGTCAATCGAAGCCCTCCAAGCCACCACGCCTCTCCACAGCTTAACCTCAGCTACCCCGTAATGCAGCATCAGCGCGGAATTCATGCATGCCGAATGCACGGCTCGTGTCTTCCCTTTCCATTACACAGCTTCACATTGGTCAAGTCGTACCATCGCGTGTACAAGCTCCAAATCCCTTCCCGTCACGATCCGCCAAAACAATTGCGTCGCCGAACTGGAGTTGACCCAAGAAACAAAACAAAAAGCATGTGAGAGCGATGAGTGTTTGTTTCTGTCGATGGCCTTGCGCGCAATGTCAAACCTCAACGCTTGATCCCATGTTCTTACTATGACCTCCACGTAGGACCACGCAATGATCATTGCCTGGAACAGCTGTCGCACCACGTTGAGATCAGAACATGGTGGAACGAGAAGACCCCCACTCTGGCCCGATCGCGGACTAACAGTAGCAAGATCATGCAATTGCTATATCAGAGTGGAGTCTGTCCTTCACACCTACTTCGCAATTGATTCCGAGCTAAGCTCGACCATGGCACAGCGTCGGAAAATATCTAGCATAGGAAAATCCCCGCTAATTCGATATCCCGCTTACCCCTGCGAGACCACCCCGCGACGGCACTTGGACACGCGAGAAGGGTGATACTAAATCGGGGGCCCTGTTCACCATCACTTCCACGTCGTCTCTGCTACCATCGTGTTGCTTCGCTGTCTTCGCAATGGCGCCGCCATTTTCTCAAGTCCGATAAGCTGAGGCTGTCAGTGTGCAGTAGCGAAGGACTAGATGGGACTTCTGCGGCACTTTTCCATTCTGGTCTCACCGATGCTGTTCGAGAATGTCGCCTCGTTCAATAGTGGCTTGCAGATTGCCAAGTCCGCTCAGCAAGACGCGAAAGCTTGGCCTTTGCTAGACCCATGGAAATACGACGAGCCTCAGCTGTGGCTCCCGCTGCTACTGCAATGTCGTGTCCGGTGACCTGGTAAGCCGTCGTGTCTACCGCACTGCTCTACCTCGGTTCTGTGGCAGGCAACAGTCGGAGTCCGTTTCTCGTATACATCGCCTACTTGCGGACGAACGATATCATGACAATGAGTTTACTGTTTGTTCACATTTCTGACCTGTACTCTCGAGAACTTGATGAGGACGCCGTCGCGAGACTGGAATAGCTTTCCAGGCCTGCCCGCACCTACATTGTTTGCAAATTGTTCAGCGCTCAGCCGTGTCTTCGCTCATCCAGAACCGAAAGCTTGATTCTATCGCACGACTAACGTAAAAAATCACCCAGCGGAAGCCTCGGTTGGAGCATAAGAAGGTCATTGATGCGTACCAAGTACCCTAGCGATAGCTTGTCATGGTTTGTTGAGGTGAGATCTCATGATGTACTCATCATTGCTATGCATGTCGACTACGTGCTATCAATCACTACGAATGCCTATGATGCGTTCCAGATCTTTCGAGAAGACCCCAACTAGTATTTCTGACAACTCTATCGAGGTCGGCGAGACTGTGTCTGGGCAGCTCTACAAACGAACATGACCAATCGCCACCACATTCCGGACAGCGCGCACTCAAGACCTTTCCCGCGGCTATGAACATGAGGACACGAAGTGCAGGTGGAAGCGAAATCCGCCATTGCTTTTGCGATCCCTCGCTAGTCTTGCCCGTTTCCATTCCGCCAAGGAGCCGACATAAGAGAAAACACTCTATGCGATGAGTCAAGATCCCAAAGCCGTTTGTTGTTCTCACCGACCAGAGGACGTCCGCAGAATCAACTCCTTGGGATCTTGCGTTGTCCAGAACCTTTTCATTGCCGAGCTGTCATCGAAGTCCTTGTACGTTACACGCACACTAGGAAGCTTCCGTTCCATAGTTTTGGTGAAGTTGACTCTGGATTCCTCGATATATTCGCTCTCATACCGGGTTGGCTCAACCTCTTCAGCTTCCTCGTCGTCTTCGTTATCAGAATCCGCAAAGAACCCCGTAGCGGACAATAGTAGATCCACATGCGTTAGATTCTCGAAAGCACGGAGCGTGGGACGGTATTCACCCGTTTCGTCATCCACATCATCGTCAGTCCCCGGATCTACTATCTGGGCTAGCATGTACAGATCCGAAGGATCGACGCCAATCTGTATGGAGTGTACGAGGCGAATCTTGTGCTTTGGTCCTTCACTATATATTATGTCCCAAAAGAAGGATTCGTAGTCTCGCAGGCAGCTGAAAGACCAGGTAAGGAATGGACCCGCCACACTGATAGCTTCGGAGTAGATTTGTCGGCATACCGTAAGGACGCTGAATGGAGAGTATCGGGAAACCTTGCAAGCGGGTTTTGCAGTTCCCGTAAAGGTAAAGGTCCATATGAGATCGCGCAGTTCGCGGGGTAGACGCAGTAGAGGCGATTGGAGCGCATTGCGCTCAACGCTACTTGGTGTCAGTATGTGATACCTTGAGGCTGGGCATCATGCGACTAACGCGGACTTTTGCCAATCAGTTTTTGGCGTGACATCAAAGACTCCATTCTCTGTCTTTGACAAGGCTGTATGAGATTCTGATATCGGTGACATGTTGCAGGACCCTGGGCAGACTTCAGTGTTGGGTGTGGAAAGGGAGAATGATGGAGACATCGGGCTTGTGCTCACGGCGGTGTGTAGCTCCGTCGATGCGGGGTGATGTCACCCCTCATGACCGACGCTCAGGAATCCACGGCTCACAACACAACTAAATTTTACGTCCTACCTCCTGCGCGCGTTGTATATCGAGAATCGGTGATCTCTACGACACTAAATGAAGACAACAGGAAACCATATCGCAAAGCGTCATTATCTAGGCATAACGCACACATTGGAAAACTGTGAAGCATACCTACATCCTCCACCAGCATCTCAGCCAACCTCATTCGACCCAGACAACAAGGGCCTTCTCAATCAACCCATAAAAACCTCTCCTTCCCAAACCCCAAACTCGATGCGCCCATCCCCCACCTTGCCCCTCTCCTCCTCAACCCACCCTTCCACCAACATAACAGCATGCCCCCTAACCAACGTCTCCCCCTCCTCATCAACCAACAAAAGCAGCACCATCCACTCCCCCCTCCCATCCTTGCCAATCAACGGATGAGCCTCCGGCTGCGCCTCCACCCCCGCCCACTTATACAACGACGAGTACGGCTTCAGAGCCGGCGGAACAACAGCCTTGAAGCGAGCAAGGAGAGAGTCGTGAAGAGCCCGCGGCACAAATGGAACATCCAAATTCACAGCAACAAGCACAGACTTCGGCGCTGCGCCCATCCGCGAAGCGAGATGCTTTGGTAGACGTTGAAACGGCATCTCACCTTCCCTTCCCAACCCCCCTACTTCTTCATACACAGCGAATTGGGCATCCACGATATCAAACACCATCTTCTCCTCCCCTTCCTCCTCTGCCAGAAACCCCACGCCCACCTCCCCCTCCTCTAAACCCCTGCTCTTTTCCAGGTTCAGTCTTCGACTGATACCCATGTATGCTTCCGTTTTGAGAAACGCAATGTCATCCATCAGGCACGTGTAGAAGTATTTAGGCATCGCGCCCTTGCCACCTTCTCCTTCTTCCTTGTTGTCGTGCGTATGCGTATACCCATCATCGCCCTCCGGCCCAGCGAACCGCAAGTCTTGTGTGACGCGACCGGAACCAGTGTCGGGTACGTTGAGCAGATCTCTGAAATGGAGTTTGGTCCAGCGGAGGAAAGTGGTAGCATTGGCTGGGGTGGGGTCGTGGAGGCGGGGGTGTACGAGGAGGAGGCCTGGTTTGGGGCGAGCTTGGGGAGGTGGTGAGGGATTTCGGGATGGGAGGGTCATGATTGTGAGTGTTGGTTGTGATTTGCTTTTGGGAGAGAAGGACGCTGTTAGTCGGGTCTTTATATGTATGTCGAGTTCCCGTTCCTTTTATGTTGCGCCCGCCGTCGTGTATCCTCGGACGGTAAGCGCGGAGTTCCGAAGCTGCAGCTGCATGAATATCCTGACTGCATACCGAACCTTAACTTCTTCCCGAACGATTAATGCGAGTTGCTGCTTGGCTCCCGAGATGTGCAGCTCGGCTAGGAACGAGGTCTGGAGGTGCATGCCACCAGGGAGGTCAATGTAGGTTGCGAGACGACGCACTGCACGCACAACCATCCATCCCAGGCAGAGTCTATGTAATTCAAATATTTAATTCGTTTCAAAGAAACTAAGTAGACAGATGTGCTCGTCTCGATCGACAAGGCCCTATTCTTACAACGCGGAATTTTACATCGCGCTTCCTCCCCAATAGTCTCAATCCTCTGTTATCCCGTTCCCATTCTCCCAGCTTGACAACACGCTCCAATCTCAGGTATACCGCCATAAATAAAAGCAAGCAAGCACCGTACTCCTGTCATCCTGATGCCGATGCCACCGCCATGGTAAACGCCAATACCCCAGGCGTTCAAGAAACAATATGAGCGTCTAACCATGACGCGAGCGAGTCCAACCATTTGTATCCAGGGTCTGCCCTGTCCAAGTCGTCGGATGCCTAATGCGTCGGTTGCCGAGGTAAATGTAGGAAGATTGTACACTTTTCAATCTCGACATCCTCTTTCTTTGCAGTGCCACTCTCAGACTGAACCTTGCGCTCCTTCTCCGCGACAATCTCAACCTCGATACGATTGACGCCGGCTACGAGTTTCGCTTCGAACAGTGGCTCGCCCTTCTTCTTGCCACCCTCGTAGCTGGGACTTGGGCTTGTGCCGTTGATGCCTGCTGTGACAGGAACGCGATTTGCTTCGAGTGTCTTGTTGCCATTCACGGTGACGAAGAGGCGGTACATCCGGCTTGTAAGCGCGATAGGGACCTTGGGTACAACTTGAATGTAAGAGTTGGACGGTGCGACCACCATCGTGGCACTGTACATGGTCTTTTGTTTGTTCGCCAGGATGCTCGTTGACCATGGCTTCGACGGGTTAAGTGCTGGGTGGGTGTTGAGTGTGATTTTGGGTATTAGTGCTTCGTCGACGCCTGCGTTTGTTAATGGAGGATCTTTTGAATCAGGATTGCTACACTTACTCTTGAGTGGCACCTTTCTGAAACTGTCTACGCGGGCTACTGGTGGAGGCGCGTAGTAAGTTGGCGTTTGGAATGAGGGAACGTGATTTCCATTCTGCAGCCCAATACCGTTCGGATGTGGGCTGCCGCTTGCCTGGCGAGACACACTCTGTGGAGGGGCCATGCTTGGATGTGGAGTCTGCGCTGGGACGCTGAGTCGGGCAGCCTGGCTATCCGGTGCGGTGCTGGCCGGCCTGATGGCACTCAGGGCAGGGGATTGGACGTCTTGCTTGACACCGTTGACGGCGGGCGGGGATCCAGCGGTTTTGTTCAGGGCGGCAGAGAGTGGTGCAATCGACGAAGCACCACCTCTCGGTCCAGTAAACGGATTGGCAGGCGCTGTTGGCGTCGCGGCTTTCCCGGGTGGGGCTTGAGATAATCGGTTGCCCACGCTATCGAGAACATGTCGTTGTTGTCGCTGAAGGGCGTCGTTGTCAACAATGACGCCGGGCGTCGCAGAATCGCGAGCACTTGGAGTGTTACGTTCTGATCCCGGGCTCGGCTTCAGCTTCAGCTTCAGCTGCTGTTTTGGAGCCGCTGCGGCGCTGGACATGTTAAGCTTCAGTTTCGGTTGCGTTGGCTCGCTGACTTTGGATCTGGCTTCTTCGAGTTTCTTGTTGAAGATTTCCTACGCCGGTCAGTACTCAGGTATGAGAGCATGCAGACGGTATACATACTTCAAGCTCGAGCGAGAGGTTGTAGATGTCGCTACCATCTTCGTTGTAGATACGGGCATTCTTCCAAATCAGACTGAAGGCTTCTTCGAAAGCGTCCCAGCTCTTGAACAATGTATGGCCTGTCGGAGCCTCGCGTCCCACTACTCCGCGAACCTTCTTCTGTATGGCGGCCAGCGACATGGGGTCTTTGATCAGCTGGTAGTAGTCCTTCAAGCTGCGCGACGGGAGGTTCTGGAAGGGCAGGAATATCTGCAGTCCTTGGCTGAAGGGCGTTAGCTGGCTGGTATTAGAGCACGGAGCATGCGACTTACTCCTCATAATCAAGAATCTCCCTCACGATCTGCTCCTGTGCCTGCTGGAATGTCTTTCCTGCATAATCAGCACTATCGTCGTCCTCTTCCAGCGCAGCAGACGCCGACTGTCGCAACTTTGACGGTGCCGGTGTAGCCGACGCCGCGATGGCGGCCGCGCGTCGAGGGCGGTCGGCTGTATCTTGCGTGGCAGGTGTATGTGCGTGGGCAGTTCTTGGGGTCGAGGTAACGCGGGGGGAAGGTTTCGACGGGGTGGAGTTGTCTTCGCCTGGGATCGGGGTGGCTGTTGCGACATAGTTGCCGTCACGGTAGGCGGGATTGTGCTTGACCATCCAATTGGAGGCGGTCTTGCGTAGACGCTCGGCATCTTGGTATATGACGGAGTTCTTGTCGTTGAAGGCCTTTGCGTTGTTGACCAGTCGTTTGCAGTCGCTCTCGACTTGAGCTAGGGACGCGTACTCGCCGTTGTTGAGTTTGTTCTCGATGGTATCAATAGCAATGGGCAGTTTCGTGAATTCGTAGTAATCGGGCACTTCGGCCTGCATGCAATTGTCAGTGGACCTGGTGCAGTGCGGGAGCGCAATGGGGACATACCTTGTCGGGAAGAGTGAGGAAGTGGACGGCGATGGGGCGTCCGCTGTAAGTTGTCAGTGGGGGTTCATACGTTCGCACACCGGGGAGTATGGGAGCTGCCAGTGCGACAGGCGTAAGGAGGGCGTCACGTACGTCTTGTCCTTGGCCTGCTTCAAGCTGTCGAGGAACTTCAAGCCTGCCGTCGTGGTCGACTCGACCGTCTCTGACCTGGAATTGGGCGTCTCGGCCTGCACGGAAGCGGTCTCCTGTCAGCATTGTTCTCATTGTTGTCTGATCCAATTCCCGCCATGGCTGAGTGCATCGCCGGCGCGCGCGTGGTGTTGAGGAGTGATGAGGGGCCGACGGGGTGATGGCCTGGTCGTCGAACCCCCCAGGTGTCGCGCTGGTGGACTAAGGAGCATCCCGCAACGCGCCCATCACGCCTCGTCCATCTCCAGGACACGCCCGACGATGCATCGCCCACCACCACAGCCTGCACATACCGTCCCTTTTTGTCGCTTCGCAGGGCGCCCGTCGTGGTCGCCCGCTGCAGCACTCGCGGCTTTGCGCTTGGCCGCGCTCTCCATTTCCGGTTGATTCGTGATCGCGTAGTCGGACTGAGTGGTTTGCCGAGCGTCTCGAGGCGTGTAGGGATCGTGGCGGCGGTGCAGTGAAATGCGCGTTCCGTCGTCAACCCGGTGGACGCGCCGCAGTGTTCAATCTAGGCTTCCCAGTTTTGCCAAGCACCCGCGCACGGTCCGCTTGCATCACCAGATGCGTCCTCCACCACACCATGGCTACGGCAAATAGTAAACACCGGAACTTGCAGCATCACGCTTCAAACAATGTCATTCAGCCAATCAAGTGTTTCTAGGTAGTGGGGCCTGGTCGCTATCTTCCAGGGGTATACTTGGGAAACGAGACCTCCGCTAATACTGCAGCAAACTCAACATGTTTGTAGGATCACGCCAGAAACAAGGAAAGTCGTCCAGAACTTCTCTCTCACTTCTGCACCGGCTCCGACGCCTTCTTCTCGAACTCTGCTCGCGCCTCCGCTTCCTTCATCTCGCGCACCTTGGCTAGCACAACTTCCCGGAAGATGGCGCCCTTTGCGATTCTGCTTAGGCGTCCAGGTCCCTTGCCTGTGTCTGCGTTCTCCTTGGTTGCCAAACTCTTGTCCTCGGAATGCGATGCAATGGCTTCGCCGGCTGCCTCGCGGGCGTTGGCGGGCACGTCTGCCTCGCCTGGCACATCCTCTTCCTCGTCCTCTTGCATCTTGAGCGCTTCGATGCGATTGGCAAGCTTGACGAGCTCGATGCCGCGCTTGAGACGGGCCTTTGCCGCGTACGCCTTGATCTCTGGCACCAAGTTGTGGTCGGTAGCAGTGCTTCCGCTGAGCCAAACGTGTTTGAGAGCAGCCTAGTATTGTTAGTGCATTCCAACAGACCCTGACTGCTTCATCGTACTTCACTGGTTGGGCGCTTGTCTGGGTTGGGCTCTAGCAGCTTCTTGATGAACTCCTTGGCCTCCGGGCTCACTTCCTTCCAGTAGCGCTCGTGGAAGATGACGCGACCGTTCTTGCATTCCTCAATCAGGTCCGCAAGGTTCTCTGACCGAAACGGCGAGTATCCGCACAGCAGTGTGTATGTGATGACGCCCATGGACCACATGTCAACGGGCTTTCCGTGACCCTTCTTGAGCATGACCTCAGGAGCAGCGTATCCGAATGAGCCAGCCATGGTGGTCAGGACTTCGCTCTTCGAGTCAAGCATCTTGGCGATACCGAAGTCCGCAAGTACGAGGGAGGAGTTCGCGTCGCGTGTGAGGTACAGCAGGTTCTCTGGCTTGAGATCTGTTCAGTAATTAGCTGCTGTGGTCGCATTCGAGGCGGAGAATATACCTCTGTGAACGACATTGTTCTTGTGGAGATAGTTAACTGCGTCGAGTACTTGTCGGATTGTCTCAGCGGCGTCCTTTTCTGTGAACTTGCCCTTTTCGCAAATGCGATCGAAGAGCTCTCCACCCGTCGCCAATTGGGTTACGATGTAGTACTTGTCCTGGCAGGTGTCAGCTCCACAGTCCCACAGAAGGGACCCGTATCGCGCATACCCTTGACTCGAACCAATCGTGGAACTTGACAATGTGAGGGTGCTTCATGCGCTGCAGCATCTCCAACTCATCGTACACCATCTGCTCGTTGCCGCGCACATTCTTCTTCAAGATGATCTTGACAGCGACCTTGCCCTCGGGGCAGTCAGCTTCTCTGACGATACCGTAGGTTCCGGCGCCGAGTGTCTTTCCGAAGCGGTATCGTGATCTGTGAATGGCATGTTCAGTACACGTCGGGGCGCAGGGCAGCAGGGTACAGACTTGCGATCATAGCTGTCGGGCTGGCCGTGCAGCTTGTTGAGCATGTTTGTCACTAGACCAGCAGTCAGTCCTGGATATGGCAATGCGCACGGCAGGGAGGGAAGTACAACTCATGATGGGCGAGCTGGTAAGCAGTTATACGACTGCCGCGAGCGTCGTCTCAGGCTGAGGGTGAGATTTGGGGTGCCTATCAGGCGCGTTCAGCTGGTGGTGGGGTGGGTGAGGGGTAAGAAACAACAGTTAGGTAGCAATGCTGTCTTAGGAGCAAAAGGCAAGGCTGCAAAGGAAAGTCGTGAAAAGGAGGCACGGAATTGGACCGGGTCAGCAACAAAGGTCGAGCGTCTTGGAAGGCTTGCTGGAGTAGCACCTAGCCTGGCTGTGGGGCAGGCGCATTCGATGTTCGTGTCCGCCTCGCGGCCTCCAGGGTTTGAGCCTTTGAGGCGCAGCGCCAGCGGATGGCTCAAAACCTAGCAGCCGCCCTCAACGCTTTCTCCATGCCATATTTGTCAGGCTCAATTGAACACAGGTCGATGCTACCACGTACTATCAGATGAGTGGGCGGACATTGCATACACGTTCGGTTGCAGTATACACGCGTCGGGCAGGCTCCAGGGTCTGTCATCTTGACTCGCGAAGCATAGACATCTCTCTGCTCGCAGCTTCTTAATCATATCCTTAAGAGCCGAACAGTTAATCTCTCTTCTGGTACGAAAGAGGCCGTACTTTTCGTATATTCCCTAATGGTCTTCTCTAGTATGCCGACACCAACGGCCGCTAGACAATGCACAGTTGCATTCGCAGTATGACTCTACTATAGCTTGGAGACGCGACCATTTCAATGCTCTCAGAATGCACGCGCCACAGCAGGTAGGGCCCAGTTCATGCCAAGAAGGAACCGCTCGTTTGGTCCCGCAGTCGCAACGCGCGCAGGTTTGCATGTGGAATTCCTACGTCATGCCCTCCCGTCTACATAATCTGGGCCTTGATCGACAAACACCCACCATACCACGCACATCACTTCTTTATTCTGCCAAATCTCCTCTGCAGCAGCACTACACACCAGTTCCCATACAAATTCTCTCACACAAACGAGCAACCGCACAATCTCCACTATGGCTATCGGCATCTTCACCATCCTCGCTGGCCTGATCGTCTTGGCCGCCGGCTACTTTTACTTCTTCGGTATCTCCCCGGAGATGAAGCGCAAGATGGAGAAGCAAGCCCTCCAGACCATGGGCGAGAACAAGATGTCCTACATGGCCAAGGGTGAGTCTTTCCATACTCACAAACACCACCCAGCAAACACTGACATCTCCCAGACCAGATCAACAAGATCCCCACCTCCGACCAAGAAGACGTCAAGAACCTCAAGCAGGGCATCAGCAACCTCGCGGGTGGCGCCATGCAGAACCCCATTGGAGAGCAAGCTGGTGAAAGCGCTGATAGACTCACATCTCCGCTCACCGGTCGCTAATGCCTCTTCTTTTGTACAGTCCGAGCGGCGACCCAAGTCTGGGATCAGACCAAGGACGTATCGAAGAAGATCTCGGATCGGTTCCACTAGGAGGTGGTGAAGGCGTGTCTGAGGGCATTGCTCGAATACCTTCGGGGATGGGTTATCGCATCCAAGGAGACGATTCAGAGGGACGTCCGGAAGAAAATGGAGTAGCGACACGATAGCGGAGGAGGAATGTTGGGCATACCCCTCGGTAGGCGTTTAGTGGTTCCTTTGTGGCTCCTCTTACGGTAGCCTTTTCCTTGTATACCGTCCCGGCGGGTTTGGGCCGTACTCTCACGACCGTCATGACTCTCATAACGGCCTCCCATATCCCTAATGAAATCTTTCTCCGTCGTCTTGATAGACTTGTTCTAAGCCCCTCATCATCCAAGTTGTACCCCACCACTCCACACAAGCCACGCGACACCCTCCCAGCCCAGAACGATCCCCCAGAATACAGCCTGGAATCTCACCTTCCTCGTCTTATGCTGGAAATAGTGCATGCCTGCCAATGCTCCCGGCCACCCTCCCACCATCGCCAGTGTATGCAACGTCACTTCTTTGACCCTCCACTCCAGATTCCGCGCTTGCATCTTATCGTAGCCATAGAAGAGAAACGTCACCCCGCTTATCAAGCCAGCGTAGATGAGCGAGTATACGGGTAGCGCCGCGATGGTGTAGAGGCGGATGAGCGTGACGGTGGGTAGGATGAGCGATGCGGTACCGCAGATGGTTGCGATGGTCAAGGGACGGTGGCGGGGACGCGCGCGTGGTGGCATTTTCACGATAAATTGTGGTGGCGTGAGAGAACCTGGGGGCTCGGGCGCATCGTGAGCGGGGAAGGAGCAGTATTGGCGAAGTGCTGGTGAGTGATGGGCGAACGCGAGCGAAGCTTTGCCGATGCTGCTCTGTCGATCTCCCGGGCCGTTGGCGGTTTGGTGCTTGGACGGAAGAGGTATAGTGTTACCGGAGGGCTAGCGTGAGGTGGTCAATTCGGCTGCGGCTCTTTACCATCAGCCTCCAAGGTTTGCCGTTGGCATACACGGCCTCACATGCATGGTGGTGCATTGCGCAATCCAGGAGTGGACATGGATTTAGCTATCGTTGCTGTGGACAGTGTCACCACCCCCGAGGTACTACATGTGATCTAGAGAAGCCGCTCTACCCTACTTCACCCCTCCATCAACGCGAGATGAACCACCAGAAGGCTTTTCGCATTTCTCTGGTGGATGAGATGACGTAACCGCGCTCAAAGTGCGAACTCTACCTGAGCTTTGTTGTCGTACGGCCCGTATTTCCGACCGTCATACGTATGCAACCAATATCGCTTGGAACCCTCTGACGATGAACCTGTCTTACCCGGGACTTCCACCACATACATCTTATCAGTATTCCACAAGGCATTGATCTTCTCGGCAACTTCCCAATTGCTGCTCAGAAATTCCGCATATTCCTCATCCTCGTCCTCGTCCACAGACGGCCAATCAGTGTCCGCGTCAAGGAGATCTCCGGATGATGGAGCGTCAGTGCCTTCGTTTACTGGCATTGACTCAAACGGTCCATCTCTCAGCGCGGCAGTTCGCTTGGCATCTTCTTCGGAGTTCGCTTTTCTTGCCAGTTCTCCCATCTCATTTGTCGGATAGTGAGTGAACTGCCTTTTCAAGTTCTCGATACTTTCCAAAACGTGTCTGTAGTGGTTGTTTTGGTCTGACTCATCGAACCAGGTCGCCTTCTCGAGCTTTTCGGCAAACGCCAAAAGACTGTCCGCATCAAGGAATTCTCGGTGCTGTCATCCGGTCAGCACGTCTCTTTCAGCACTGGGATAAACGCAATCCTTGCTGCGAACTTACCAACTTGAATCCCTGTTCATCTTTACCGTAAGCGTCTTTGCCATAGGAGTTGTGTGCCTGGGTTGAGTAAGTAAGGTTCCCAGAAATGTGTTCTGGTAGAAGTAGGATTTGGAACTTACTGCACTCAACGGCGTAGCAAGTTTCCTGAGCATATCATCATATCCGAGGTATACCGCTGCTTCTTTATCGAGTTCGCATCTTTCCAAGCAGAACGTCGCGATATTCCACTCAGCCTCGGTTTCGTGGGAGAGAGGGCTAACGCATTTCTTCGCACACTACGTGTCGTCAGACTTCATATACTGCTGAGATCTACTCTCAAATCATACATCGGTAGCGGCTTTGCTTTTGGATACGGGGCCACTGGGTTGGGCCTTCGGAGCTTCGATGTTGGAAGCTTGCTGTGAGTCGTGTGCCTGTGCAGTGACTGCAATAGCAGTGCACAAGACAACACCCAGGATATTAGTGGGGAGCTTCATGTTGAGAGAGATGATTTCTGAAAGTTCGCGGCTGGTTGGCTATTTAAATAGATCTGGGCCCTTCTCAAGGGCCTGTGTGAGATCGCTTCAGTGCGGAGAGCGTTGAGGGGGTGTAGTCCCTGAACCCTTGAGTGATGACTTGATCCATTGAACTCCATACCTTGTCCAATGAGCCATCGTCAAAACGCTCAACATCCTGAAGACGCGCGTCTCCAATCCGCGATTAGACGATGGCCATGTGCCAGAGAAGAAAACTGTATGGAGAAGAGTGAGTGTTCTGGGCTTAGACACCCATGTGGCTTGTTGTGCGCTCGTCATCGAACTTGCACTTTAGTGGGTGAATGAATTCGATTCTTAGAGCTGCTGAACGCCTCGTTAGAAGGCCACAATATGCATGCGCCCCAGTACACCAAAACGTTCCATCGCAACGCAAACCACACCCCCCTCAACAACCCATCCGCTCCAGATGCTCCGGAAGATCCATAACATCACGCGGATGATCCCTCATAAACTCATCCGCCACACGCTCACAGTCCTTCGCCTGCAACACAAACATCGCCCGCCACGTCTCCGTAGGCTGTTCAGCATACTACACCCTCGTCAGCACACCCAAGTCCACAACCAACACCCACAGAATTGCTCAGACGTTTATCCTAGTCCCACTCACGTTCGGATCCTCCTTGCAAGCCTTCAAGCAGCGCATGTAATTCCAATCTCCCTCTCCGCCCCGGCGGGCCTTGTACTTGAGCGTGTCCATGCAGTAGTTGTAGCACTAGGTTTTGTTAGGCGATTTTTTCATGCAGGGGAGGAGTTAGTCTTGACTTATTACCTGTTTGAGGGGTGTTATGGGTTCGAGATCTGCGAGAGGGATTGTGTCGGGGTTTTGACGCAGTTGGGATTCGGATAGGTGGACGGAGGCGGCGGCGGCGGCGGCGGCGCATAGGGCTAGGCGGAGGATGGTGATGCTGAGCTTCATGGTGGCGTAGATGGTATTGTGAATATATGAGCTCAGGAGTCTCAAGTTGGGTGTTGGGAGTATTTAAAGCAACTGCATGAGGTCTGTGGAATGGTTTTGCGATTTGCGAACCCATGGTTGATAGTTCGGTACTACCAGAATCACACACATTCAATACCTTTTCCACGTATTGCTGCAATCTGACCACTATTTTTGGGGCACGAGAAGGTAAAACTAAGCGGATACATTGCTGCCATATGCGAAGCTCGTCATGGCAACGCTCTAACAAAGCTGCAACCTCCCTTCATCCTCACGCATGACCGGCACGCCCGACACCCTTCGAAGCCCTCATGGCCTACTAACAGGACCTTGATAAAATTTCCTCAGCACCTTCTCCTCCTCATCCATAATCCTCCTCTGGATCTTATTCCTCAAAATCTCAATCTGACGGTCATACTCCCACCGCGGTGTATCCGCACCCCTCATACCAATGAACCTCGCAAACATCCTCATCTTGATCTTTAACCGTTCCAGCTCACCTAGTTTACAGTTTTCGGGCAAGGTATCGCTGGCGTCTAAGAAGGGTTGTTGCCAGTTCATTGTCTGTGGGTACTGGTTTGTGAGATCTGTTGAATGTGTTTGGGAATAGTAGACGGCTAGCGCGTCGAGTTGCGCTTCGGTGAGGAGGAAAAGATCGAGCATTGTAGAGGGGAACTCGGGTGCTGGTATCCCTGTCTCCACGTGCACTATGGGGGCGATGGTGAGGCGCATTTCGGCAATTTTATTTGCGAGGGCTGGGTTGCGATTCCATGGTGACATCTTTCTTGCTATTCGCCTTTGCACAATGCTCGATGTAGGACTTATTGCTTTGTTGATTCCGTTTGTATCGCTCATGCGTCGGTTAGGCATATGTTCGTTTGGTAAAGAGATTGTGGTCGGGCAAGGGCTTGCTGAATGGAGGAAGTTTGCTGCGGGAGGACGTGTGCGACGATATTTGGTATGAACCAGCCGGGAGTGTGTAGCATGCAGGGTTGAGGGGTCGCCGTAGTATATAAAGGCGACACAAACGGGCGTGGCGGCTGTCAGAAGAATGGGTCTTGTTCGAGCTTTGCTCTTTGTTAAGACACCGCCGCTCAAGACTTGCTCTTCTGACTCCCAGTATCTCGTGAAGAGTTGATCTTTGTCTTCTTCTGTCACGTGTCCATTGTTTCGTGGATGATGGAAGGTTACTGCCACACAATGTTGCGCATTCATGGCAGTGATGGTAGTGCTTGATGAAGGCGGGGGGCTGATCACCCTTGTTGAGGATGCGGTGGCGTGTTGGCTGACACTGTGATGCGTTGGCAAATCTTTCATGATCTGAACGCCGCTGTACAGCTCCGTTTCAGACACAACCAGCGGTGAATTGTCAACCTCTTCGTTTTCGAAAACTGTGGTGGGGTTAGATAATGAGAATGAAGGTCATGGATGCGTCAGGTACCTGAAGGCAGATAGCGTTAATGGAAGGAGGCCTCAAGCATCGAGAATGGCTTGGAGAGACACATCGTTCTCGGCGCCACCAACTGGCTCGGTATTTTTCCAGAACTTGCTCAAGTGCCTTGCACCACTGTGAAGGTGTTAGTACGTACTTGGGATTTTGAGACATCGTCTTACCTGTCGCATAATATGGTGACGATGCGGTGTCCTGGACCGAGTGTCTTTGCAAGTTTCGTGGCAGCGACGCCTTCAATAAGTCAGTGCCGCCTGCTGTTGAACGCTTCACAACTTACAGTTCACAGCACTAGAGCTTCCAGCAAAGATGCCATCGTGCTCGACCAACCAGCGCGCCATGGAAATTGCTTGGTCGTCGTTAACCCTGATGGCATCGTCGATCAGCTCCCTACCAACGTCGAAGTTGTGAGTCACTCTGTTGATGCCGATCCCTTCAACGATTGTGTCCACTTGGTGTCGCCGCCGCGTTCCTTCTCTTTCCTTGGGGTCGAACATAACACCGTACTTGACGCGGTTGAACAAGCCGCTGCCAGGGGGATCCGCAAGGACGACCCTGATGTCGGGTAATTTGGACTTCAGGAATAACGCTACTCCAGAGATAGTTCCTCCAGTGCCAGCGCCGCTAACGAAAGCATCTACACGACGCCCAGTTTGCTCATAGATCTCAGGTCCCGTGCCAGTGAAGTGTGCGCGCCAGTTGGCTTCCGTTTCGAATTGATCGGCGAAGAGTCCTCTCCCAGGCTTTTCGGAACTTGCGGTGTGCTCTTCTGCTCGCGATCGTGCGAGGTTGACAAATTGTTTCTGGTCCACGATAGGCGCCGGGCGCACTCTTTCTACTTCAGCACCAAGCTTCAGGAGGAGATCTGACTTCTCGATTGCGATGTCGTTTGGCATGCAGCTTCGCTTGTCAGCCAACACACCTCTGAGTCAGATGACGACTTACATGTGTGCTTTGTAACCTCTTGCTCTGCAAATAGCGGCTAATGATATACCAGTGCTCCCCACAGTGCCTTCGTATATGGTGTCACCAGAGTGTGGGATCAAAAGACCCTTCTCTTCAGCCTGTTATGAGAATCAGCAAACATACATGATGTAAACGGGTGGCGGAGTAGAGTCTTCTCGTACCATCTCGATGATGCTTAGAGCGACTCTGTCTTTTGGACTGTTGCCGGCTCCGTTGAGGAACTGTTATTCACGTTAGCGACATTCCAGGGCAAATAAATCCATGCAAGTATTCCTACCTCAGCTTTTGCAAGTATGTCACATCCTGTAAACTCCGAAAGTGACTTGATTTTGATGAGGGGCGTGTCGCCTATGCATCCTTCGATGCCTTCCTTGATGTTGAAGGCGCCGTGCCCACCACCAAATTCCAGTAAACTCTTCTTCAACGTTTCCAAGTCATTAATTTTTGCGAGTTGCGATAGCCATTTTTGCTGCTGCGCCAGAAGTTGATCTGCATTATCTATTCCTTCTATCGACCTCTTTTTGTTGTATGCAGTCGTCAGAGCAATCCCTAGTAGGAAAGCGCCTAAGAGGTAATATTTGGAGCGATCCACCATTTTTCAAAAGTTGGGGAGTTGTGGCGTGCAGTTTGCAGAGTTGACGCGATCGGAGCTGGTGGTATCCCCGTCTTGGCGCGGGTGCCCGCAAAGCTCACCACGTGCATTCGCGCGGAAGACCACAGCCACCACTGCTGTCGCGACGCATTCGTGACAATTGTCCCTGGCGCCAATGGACTCGCCGCTCGCCACGCAACTCTTCCGCCAGCTATTCTCACACCGAGCGTCGCAATGCCTTGCCCGCGGAGCTCGGCCAGCGCTCGCAGGCGCCCGCATACCGCACCACCAAAGACGAGGCAAGGCCACACGGTTGGGTGAGGGAGAAACGAAGCGCGAGAGCAGGTGGACACCGAGGAAGAATGCATTCCCTCACGAGAGGACGGAAGAGTTCGAGAGATACCCCATGGTCACAGCGGACATGCTGCGGAGTAGGAGAGAAAGACCGCGCAGAGTCAAGATGTTGTTGCGCGACTTTATAGAAGGTTGGGACTCTGACATGTGGTGTAGTAATATACTAATGGATTCAAAGACAGCTTATACAACCCCAATTACGGCTACTTCTCCAAGCAAGTCGTCATCTTCTCTCCGGGCGATCCATTCGACTTCAACTCCATGGGCTCCGAGCACGAATTCTTCCAGCAGCTGCGGCACCGCTATACCGCCTTCGAAGACGATCTCGATTACCAAGAACCGAACGACCTACGCCAGCTCTGGCATACGCCGACCGAACTCTTCTCGCCCTACTATGGAGAAGCAATCGCACGTTACCTAGTAGAGGACTACAAGTACAATTTCTACCCATACCATGACCTGAACATATACGAAATGGGCGCGGGTAACGGTACAATGATGTTGAACATTCTCGACTTCATACGGGATGTGCACCCAGACGTGTACGAGCGCACCAAGTTCAAGATCATCGAGATCTCCAGTCAACTGGCCGACCTACAACAGAAGGGTCTAGGACACTCAGCATATGCGCGAGGTCACTCTGACAAGGTGGAAATCATCAACCGGAGTGTCTTTGACTGGAACATCTACGTCTCCTCTCCCTGCTACTTCCTCGCATTGGAAGTCTTCGACAACTTCGCACACGATGCCCTAAAGTACGACTTCGAAACGGGCCTCCCATATCAATCCCACGTCGTCATAGATCCTCGTGGAGAGCTCTTCGAATACTACTCGCGCACCATAGACCCCCTCGTTACCCAATTCCTCGAGCGCAGGCACGCTGCCTGTACCACATACCCACACCCGCTGCAAGGCTCGCGGCTCATGAACAATTTGAAGAGCTTGGTACCGTTCCGCTCTAATATGAGCATGCCGGAGTACATCCCAACGCGGCTGATGCAGTTCTTCTACATGCTGTACGAGAAGTTTCCAAACCACAAGTTGATTAGCAGCGACTTCCATAAGCTGGGCGATGCGGTCGAAGGTATCAATGCGCCTGTTGTGCAAACGAGGTATAAGAGGCAGATGATTCCTGTCTCGACACCTCTTGTAAGTTTGGTCTGTTGTGTTGTGAGACAACTACTAACACATTCCAGGTACACCAAGGCTACTTTGACATACTCTTCCCCACAGACTTCGAGGTCATGGAACCCATGTACACGTCGATAACCGGACGCTTCGCACGAACATACCTACACGAAGATTTCATGGCCGGCAGAGCAGACATTGCGGAGACAACAACGAAGAATGGTGACAACCCCTTGCTGAGCTGGTACAAGAACGCCAGTGTCATGATTACGGTATAGATCAAAGCCATACGATCCTATCACGGTCATCCTGTAGGAGAACAATATGAAGATGCCAACATGCATTGGCAGCTACTCAGGCTCCTGTCCCTTCCATGTCTCCTTGACAGCACTTACATCCATCTCACATACCTCAGCATGTCTCAGTATCGCATGCGCCTTCTTCACGACTGGCGCATCGATCATCTTGCCATCCAATGTCCAGGCCCCTCGTCCAGCTTTGCTTGCCTTCTCATCCGCTATGACTATCCTGGTCGCCCACTCGAGCTCCTTCTCCCCAGGGCTGAAGGCTTTATGACACACGGCGACTTGACTTGGGTGTATGCATTGCTTGCCGTTGAAGCCGAGCCCTTTGCCATTCAAACACTCTTCCTCTAGCGTCTTGAGCCCCTGCTCGCCCTTGTAGCTCGTACATACCAAGTCAATAGTACTAGGAAGTCTAGCAGCCCTCGCCGCCGTCGCAATCGCACTCCTTGCATACAAAAACTCCATGAGCGAGGGTGTACGTGTGAGACTCATATCCTTAGCAAAGTCCTCTGCTGCGAAGACAAGCCCCGAGATATACGGCGAAGCAGCGCAAATCTCACTCAGATTCTGAATCGCCTTTGCGCTTTCTATCAGCGCTATTATGCGCACAGGCTCCCTCGTCCCTTGTGTCCCTGCACTAGGATGGCGGTCGGGCGAGAGATGCCGTATCACATCCGTGACGAAATGCAGGTCTGCAGCGCTTTCGCACTTGGGCAGCATGATGGCATCGAGGTGCTCGCCTTTGAGCACTTCGGTCAGGTCATCCAGCGCAAGGCCTGTGTCTACGCTGTTTATCCTTACGCACATCTCTTTTATCCCGGCGGGTCGTGGCTTGTTGAGGATAGAGCGCAGGTTGGAGCGCGCTTCG